GATTATTTTCACTGTTTTTGCCTAAATGTCAATACAAGACAAATAAGAAAAGGAAATTAACATCACATAAATTAAGTCATTCAGAAATAAAACAATTTAAATGTGATTATAAAAATTGTAATAAAATTTATAAACATAGATCACGTTTAACTGAACACAAAAATAGGATTCATTTAAATCGCAAATTTATTTGTGATTTCAATGAATGCAACAAAAGTTTTACATCAAAAAGAAGTTTATTTCTCCACAAAAGTTGTGTTCATTTGAATGAAAGAAAATTCAAATGTAATGAAGAAAATTGTGTTAAAATATTTAGCAGAAAATTCTCACTCATTCGACACAAACGCATACATTTGGAAGAAAACTCATTTGTTTGTGATTTCAAAGATTGTAATAAAGGTTTTACACACGAATGGAATTTCAATATACATATGAAAAGACATCTAAATATAAAACTTCATAAATGTATTCATAATAACTGTAATCAACGCTTTGTTACGTCGAGTGAATTGAAACAACATTTTAATAACAATCACTTCAGAAAATAATTACATTTTGTGGCCAATTATTGAATTATAACTATATTTTTGGACACATTTTACTATAAAATAAAATAATTTATAAAATAATATTCAATAAATTTTATTAATTAAATTTACACTACAATCAAATTTTAGTCAAATTCATTTAAATTCACAAAAATCTGTAAAACAATAGTTGTATCACAAAAGCAATACAAAACTTCATTTAATTAAACAATTAATTTATAAACAACTCAACAAAACAATTAATTCACTACAAAACCCATGCTTTTTATTGATTTTATGTTCAATTAATGGGTTTTCAGTGATAAACCGTTTGCCACAATTTTCACATATCATCGGCGGTGCCATTGAGTGGACAGACATCTGATGGCGGATCAGCTTCTTATGGACGACAAACTGTTGGCCGCATTCATCGCACGTCACCCGTGGCCCCCGAGTGGACAGACCTGTGGTGTGCCTTACGTTCCCGTTTAGTAGCGAACGATTGGCCGCAACCGTCGTGTCGACACACGTACCGATCGGTAGCGTCTGTATTGTCCGTAACCACTGACTTGACGTTAACTTCGGGTTCAATGGCCGCCTGTAGTACACCAGTAGCCGCCGAGTGTGCAATTAGTCTATGCTTTTTTAGTCTGTATTTATCGCCATAAACGTTGGTGCAGTCGTCGCACCGGTATTGCCAACCGGGGGTCGAGTGGGCAGTCATCGAGTGGTGCCTCAACTCCCGTATAGTGGCAAACGAATGGCCGCAACCGTCGTGTAGGCAGACGTACGGCTCGTCTGTAATGTCGGTAACAACAGGCGGACAGTTAACTCGTGTCAGACGGTGTTTGTTGTACTTTCGTTTTGTGTGATATGTTTTGTCGCAGCCGTCGCACCGATACAGTCGACCGGTGGCCAAATGGACAGACAGTCGATGTTTCTTCAGCTCCGGTATTGTGACAAACAATCGGCCGCAGCCTTCGTGTAGACAGGGATGCACTTTGAGAGCCGCCAATGCGGTCACAGACTGTGAGTCTTTGCCAGCATTTGGGCTAACTGTTGGCCGACTGTCGCCCGATTCGTGTCCACTATTCTCATCACTACTCGTATCAGAGATCCTATTTATGGCAAAAAAATATAACATAATTAATGTGTTGTTTATTAACTGAAATATGAATAATAATTACTCAATGTATTTCCGTTTTGATTGGTGGCCAGCGATGGGCCGCACCGGCACTGTATCGCCTGTGCTTTTGGGCGCCGGTATATCGTCTACAAGTGGTTCAGATGACGGGTGGACTCCATTGGCGGTCACTTCTGGCCGACTATCGCCCGATTCGTGTCCATTTTTTTCATCACTACTCGTATCGGAGATACTATTTGTGGCCAAAAAATAATAAGACAATTATAGTATATTAATAATTATTAATAACAATTACTCAATAATTTTCGGTATTGATTTATGGCCAGTCATCGGCGGCACTGCATGTGCGGTGCGTTTGGGCGCCGGCAACACATCTATCACTTCGAGATCAGAGTCAGAATCACTGGATATATAGAGTAAACACACAATCAATTAATGGCTTAAATCAATGGCTATAATATACCTGTCATTTGACTCGACATCACATTCAATGGCCGGCCGTGGAGTGACCTGAGCCGACACCGAGTGCTTCAGACGATGCTTATCGAGCATATGTCTGGTGTAATACTTTTTGTCGCAGCCTTCGCACCGATACTGTCGACCTTTAGCCGAGTGTACGGCCAGTCGGTGTCTCTTCAGCTCCGCTATAGTGGCGAACGATTGGCCGCAGCCGTGGGATAGACAGGCGTGAGGTTTGTGAGCCAATGCGGTCGCAGCCGGCGGTGACGAGTGAACGGTCTGTTTGCCGGTCTTTGAGTGAACGGTTCGCCGATGAGTCTTGAGTTCCGGTTTAGTATCAAATGTTTTGTCGCATTTCTTACACGTATAGACCAATTGGATGGTAGGGGTCGGGCCGGCAGTTACGGCAACACTAGTGGACACGTGTACTGCTTCAGTGGCCGCCGCCGTTGAGTGGACAGTCAGCCTATGCTTATCATACCTTTGTTTGCTGTGATATGTTTTGATACAGCAGTCGCACCGATACTGTCGACCGGTGGCCGAGTGGACAGAGAGTCTGTGTCTCTTCAGCTCCGGTATTGTGGCGAACGATAGGCCGCAGCCGTTGTGCGCACAGCCGTACGCTTTGCCGTCCGACGAGTGGACAGTCCGGCGGTGTTTCTTGAGCTCCCGTTTCGTGGCATATGTTTTGTCGCAGTGTTTGCACTCATGGATGGCATCAGGTTTAGGACTACCGCCGCTATGATTGCCGCCGACACCACTCGTGTCGTACCAGAAGTGAACGGTTGGCGCCGTTGTCTTGTGGACAGCCCTCTGGTGTGCAATCAGTGTATATTCAATGGTAAACTCGAGGCCACAGCCGTCGATACGGCACACATGAGTTGCCGGCAAATCAATGACAGTTTCAACGGTAGTCGAGTGACCAGTATTTGCATTAATAGTACTGTTTGTGTGAAATGAGTGGAAATTAATTTGAGTTTTAATTGAGTTGTGATTTAAACAGTACTTAAGGCACGGGTTATTGTCTACGAGTGAAGTGTTGAGCAATTGTTGATCATTGAGTGTTTGGTGTCCAGCGGTCGGCGCCGGCTCTGTAGTCGCCCGTATGGGCTCAGGTATCGTATCTATTACTTCGAGATCAGTGTCTAAATCAATGACACTTTGATCGGTAGTCGCCAACGGCTTATCGGTGGACGTGTGACCAGTATTTGTGTTGAGACTACTGTTTGTGAGAAATAAGTAAAAATTATTTACTGTTTTAATTGAGTAGTGATTTAAACAGTACTTAAGGCACGGATTGTTAACAAGTGAAGCGGTGGCCGACAAGTGGTGGTCATTGAGTATCGGCGGCAGTGTTTGGCCGGTGTTTACCGCAGATATTGTGTCCACGATTTTGATGTCATTGTCTGAATCGCTAAATATTATGAGAAAAAATGTATAAATAATTTAATCTATGACTTCATACACAACACATACTCATCGCACGCGTTGTCCAGCAATTGGTTGTCGGGACTGGAAGTTATGGTGATTGTGGACACTGATTGGTTGGCCATTGATATGGCATTTGGCTGTTGTTGGCCGTCATCTGCGGCTGTCGTCGACTGGTCTCTGGCATCGGTTGAGCTAACAATCGGTTCCCGAAGAGTGATGTCTTGGACGGCATGTCTGCGGCCTTTGTGTTCATCCAATCGGCTTTGAGTTGTGAAACATTTGTGGCATTCATTGTAATGACATTTGAACGCCTCCTTTGGCGGCAATTGTCGGACAAATGACTCGAGGATTGACTCATAAGTCAATGATTGGCTGAAAAGACACAAAAATTAGTGACAATTGAACGCATGGTTTGTCACAATCCATACAAACCTATCACTCGATGACATCCAGAAGAATGTGAAGACAACACTCACGAAGACATCACTACTTGTGTCCACACAAACATCTAATTCAAGTCTAAATCAATAAATAGTTTGTTATTAATTGCAAACAAAACAACACGTGATTCACATGTTTTCACTACAAATCTGTTTATAACTCATTCATAAATTACGGCTCATTTATAATACTGTATTTTGATTCCCCATTCATTGCAATCGTTTAAGAATTGCGTTAAATATTATATTTGAAACATTTTTTATAAAAACTCATCAAAGTTTTATTGCGTTTATTATAATTAAATCAAAATTAATTACTTAAAATTAAATGATATAAAGTTTTAATAAATTAATTAATAGTAAATTTTAATGAAACATTTATTTATAGTAACCACTTTCATAAAATAAATAAATGATTAATTTTCAACATAATTAACATGTTTAACTTACATAGTCAACATGTTTTAAATTTTATTTAATTTATAATTAAATTAAATTATATAATTTTACTAATTAATTAGTTATAATGTAACTAAAATATTATTACAGTTATTTAACGTTACAATGTTTTTAATTAAATATCAATGAGATTATTTTAATTATATTTTTTTAAATTATTTTGAGCACTTTTTGCAACAAAGTTATTATTTATTTCCCAGAATATGATTATAATTAAAATGTTTATTTAATTCCGCTTTCGTAACAAAGCGTTGATTACAGTTATTATGAATACATTTATGAAGTTTTATATTATTATGTCTTTTTAAATGTTCTGTTAAATTAGATTTTATACTAAAGCTTTTGCAACAATCATTGAAATGACAAACAAATGGTTTTTCTCCCGAATGTATGCGTTTGTGTTGTGTGAGAAGTGACTTATGATTAAATTTTTTATTACAATTTTCTTCATTACATTTGAATTTCTTTTCATTCAAATGAACACAACTTTTATGTTTAATTAAACCTCCATTTGTTGTAAAACCTTTCTGACATTTATTGAAATCACAAATATATCTCACATTTAAATGAACAATATTATTATGTTTAGTTAAATAAGATTTAAGTTTATAACTTTTATTACAATTAATAAAATCACATTTAAATTGTTTTACTTCTGAATGATTTAATTCATGTGTTTTAAAACTCCACTTATTTCTTGTCTTATACTGACATTTAGGCCAAAAACAACTATAAATTCTTACATCATTTGTATGAATAATGTTGTGATCCATTAATTTATTTCTTTTTCTAAAACTTTTGTTACAATTCATAAAATCACAAATAAATGGTTTTTCTCCCGAATGGATGAGTTTGTGTTGAAGTAAAGTCTGATTTGATGAAAATATTTTGCCACAATTTTTTTCATTACATTTGAATTTTTTTTCTTTCAAATGAACACAACTTTTGTGATAAAATAACGAGTGTTTTGTTGTAAAACTTTTGTGGCATTCATTGAAATCACAAATAAATCTTACGTTTAAATGAATATTATTTTGATGAGTAATTAATTGTGATCTTTGTTTAAAACTTTTATTACAATTATTAAAATCACATTTAAATTGTTTCACATTTAAATGAATTGATTGATGATTATTGAAATGTCTGCTGTCGTGTGTTTTGTATTGACATTTAGGCCAAAAACAGTGCATTTCTTTACGACGATTCAAATGAATTCTATTTTTGTGTTTAATTAAATCTGATTTGTGTTTAAAACTTTTATAGCAATTATTAAAATCACAGTTAAATCGTTTTTCTGAATGAATCATTTGATGGTTAATTAAATGATCTTTCCTTAATGTCTTGAATTGACATTTAGGCCAAAAACAGTGAAAATAATCATCAGATTTAGTAATGATATGACAATTGTTTAGCATTTTATCACTGATTTTACATGAATTGCAATCAATTGTTTGATTGATTGAAAAATAATCATTATTTTCGCATTCAATCGCTTCACACAAAACACTATTATTTGTATTCAAAATACACTGAATTTTGTCTNTATTATTTCACACAAACTCTTCATTGCATTGAATTTACTCTTCATTTCAATTAAAAATTTACTCATTTTGTAACACAATTAATTGAACTATTTACAAAAACACTAAATTTGTTAATATTATTATAAATATTAGTAAACCCTTTAATAAAATACAAACTAAATTTAAACTTTCAAACTGAAATACTTTTCAATAATTTCACTTTTAAGATGTGTTTGGTTTGACTCCAACTCTGGAAATGTTGTCTCAAATGCAGTATTATTTGTAGTAATAGTTGTGCTCTCAATGTGTTGTTTATATGTTGTCCACAATTGGTTTCCACACAAAACCGTTAGTAAATCTATAAATATATATAGTTACCTCCGCTTTATTTCTTTCCAAAGTATATATTTTCCCTCCCATTTCTATGACAACAAAAATAAATTTAGTTTATAAAATAAACATGACTTGTTTATGATAATGACCTTGTTCATAGTCCTATTCTCCCCCTTCCAGAGTAATTCGTTCACTCATTGCTCACCCATTGAATACCATTTGTCTCAAACATTTCCAAACCCTTCGGCCAAACGCTGTAATTATCATTGAAATGCATTATTTTTATGACATTATTGTCTGTATAATGAAAATACTTTTAGTTCAATTAACCTAGAATCTAGGTCCTAGATGCATGTTTAAGTGTCATTTCTAGCCACCATCACCTGCGCCAACAATCTTACAATAGCGACAGCCAGAGAGAGAGAGAGAGAGAGAGAGAGAGAGAGAGAGAATAGAGCAGACAATGACTGCAATACACATTACAACTGCACATACAGTATAACAAAACATCATCTCTGGCTGAGAGAGAGAGAGAGAGAGAGAGAGATTAGGGTATGGAATATGGATTATAAAAGTGTCCTAAATTAGGCCAGAGTTTCAGGTATTGAAAGCTATTTTGAAAGTACAGTGCATTTGATTCAAACATACAGTGGTTTAGAGTTGAGAATATTTATGCCAAACAATAGTTATTGCAATTCCAATACATATTCAGTGAAATTCAAAATTGAGACCTAATTATAGACTAAATTCCGAAAAAATAATTGGTTTATAAAATGTTTGTCCAAAGAGTCTGTGATTTGGTTTGAGAGACAAAGGGTTATATTGTTTGCCATAAGCTATAAGTGGGACAATAGTTGTGAACTAAACTTGTTTTCACAAAAATTTCTGTTTAAAAGTGATAAAAATATTCATTTATTGTTTTTGGTATTTGTCGAGTTAACACGTTTTATCTTAATTATACAAAAATGTGCTCAAAACAGAGTAAATTGTTAATTGAAATGAAGAGTAAATTAAATGCAATGAAGAGTTTGTGTGGAAACCAATTGTGGACAACATATAAACAACACATTGAGAGCACAACTATTACTACAAATAATACTGCATTTGAGACAACATTTCCAGAGTT